TCCCCATCAATGTGCCATGTTATTTTGCTTTTTCTATTTCTTTTCTTTTGTTGCTGTTGTTGTTTACTTCTTAAGTAAATTAATTTCCCCAAGATGCAGTGCCTAACGATCTGACTATCCATGATATGCTTCAAATACTGGAATACATTAAGACTATAAGAAGGCCCTATGGTGATTTGCTAATTAGCTTAACCCTTTGGGGACAGGGAAGAAGGAATTTTTTATTAAAACAGGATAACCCTGGACTATATTGATCTGACTGAGAAATGAGTATTTTAGTCAAGATGAGTCTCAAGATGAGTACATGCTGGAAACGGTGATGTTGTTTCCATAGCAATGCCATGACAGCCTCCAGAGTGAAATAGTGTGCTACCAGGAAATGAAGGGAGTTCAAGTGCTATGAGCTACATAGTTCTGTGAGCAATCCAAACACATTCTCATAAAGAATATTTAGTACAGCTAGATAGTCCAAAGATTGCTGCTGATGTGAAGTAAGCCTTATCAGTATGCTTCCAGCGGTCCTGTTTTCTCATTCACTATACCCAAGATGACTTATCTAAAGGCTTAAGCTATGGGCAACACTGCTAAGCCATTTCAGACCAAACATTAACAAATACATCAACCTTTACCTCACTTATTTTCCAGTGAAGAATATAATCCCTAATTAAGGACACTGACTATCATTCTCCATAACACAACAAAACACATTAAACCTTTTAGTGAAGAAAAGCCTCATATGTGCAACTATTTACCAGCTGACCTTCCCCCTTCCTTTTCTCTCACCTCCCCCTGCCCAAATGATACTGAGCAAATCTGCTTGCAAGTGGGAATCAACGTACAGAAGTCTTGCTTATCCCTCATGAAAATTTACACAGCCATAGCATAAAATTCACTTGTCTGCTTTTTACCCCAGTTCATGTTTATGCTAATATAAAAGCATACCAGAAAACCACTGATTGTATTTTATTTGCCTAAGGCTTTACCCAAGGCAAATATTCTGGTCAAATTCTGCAAAGCTCATTTAAAATATTTTCCAAAGGAGACAGAGAATCTGTGTTGCTTTGTCTTTTCATTTTCAAAGGAATGAACACGTCTCGGTGATTTGTAAAACTGCTAAAATAATAATTTTAACCCAACTGTTCTCAAATAAAATTATACAAGACACAGTACTTTACTTGAAAAACACCCTAGCATACTGCACAGCCGTCTTTCTCCAGCATTTCCCATACAATTTGTAAAGATGTTCAAATATGAGCTGAATGTCTAGAAACTCTCCCACTGTATTTGTTGCCTGTGTCATTGTCACAACCAGCCTCTTGGATAAACAGATTGCAGTTCATTATATGTAGCAGTGCTACCTCTGAGGGAAAGTAGAAAGACAAATACACATCACTGCCAGATCCTTTATTAACAAATGCCACTTCAAACCAAAATGTTTTCTATTTATTATTTTAAACACGTATTTCAAGGAATCAAGCCTTCCATGTAAAACAGCAAGATACTTCATCTCCATTTTGCATCTAACAAAAAGATGTGAAGCAAGCATTTTTAGAACTGCCTGAGCCTCCTCCTGCCTGCCCCCCTAAGTGTCTTGCAGAAGGCACCAAGACCAGCAACACTCATTTAAAACTGTTTGCTTGGCAGAATTTTTTCATCTTAATATGTGTAGTCCTAATTGGAACTGGCACACCCAACGTTTTTACCCAAAGCTCACCAAGAAATATCCTGCATTATGAATAAGAACTATACAAGAATTACAGTACCAATCCATTAACTATGTCTTAGCAAAACTAAATACTGAACTACACCAGTGTAAATGATTCTCAAGTTACTGGGTGATTTGGGATCTACAGCTGCATATGTAATTTCAAAATAATTTATTTTTAATGCACAAATACTCTAAAGTGAAAGATCTCAAACCCAAAAGTTCTAACAGGCAAAGAGTTATTATATATCAATGTTTTTACCCAAAGCTCATCATCTCATCCAGGAGAATTTTATGTAACTACATTTTCTGTAGGACAGATGTGACAGATGTTGAAATCTAGTGGAAAAGGCGCCCCTGCAATTTTACAAGGACTTACAGGGCTCTATATGGACAAAAAGATACCTGTGGGAAGACTGATGCAAGTTTAACTTACTCATCCCCATCGTACAGTTACCGTGGTCTCCCAGTTAATTCCTCAATGTGAGCAATATTCTGTAATGATCTCACCTTCTTTTCGAACACCTATCTCAACTTTTCTGTTTATCAAAGAATTAAGTAAAAGTAAACTGCCTGGTTATCTGGTTTGGAGAACTGAGTACAGGTACAGCTTATATTGCCTGAAACAGAAGTGGATACAACCTATTTAATTCCGTCTGCTCTCTTGAATAGATACTGGTATCCAGCCACAAAAGTCAATCTGCTGCCACTATGGCCAGTTTAGCAAGAACCGTTTGCCCCAGCATTGATCATTCCTTTACCTAAGTGCCCTAAACGCTGTCATCAGTCCTCCCAGATGTTTGTTCATGCCTATCTAAAAGAAGCAGCAATAACTGCATCCCAATCCAGGATAGAAATTCAGTTATCCCAGAATCATCCACATAAGTATCCCAAAGCCACTCAGATACAGGAAAAGTTTCCTATCCCAAACCTCAGAAACACACTCTTAATTTCCTCACCATCTTCACTCTTAGAACATACTCAGAAATTGAGTGTGCTACTATAAATTGTATCATGCTTTAAGAGTTAAATCAATGATTCAATCAGAAACTCTAAATCAATAAATATTCAATGATGGGAGTGTGCTAATGCTTGAAACAGAGTCCACGCAACTGTCACCGAATATGGTTGAACATGCAGGAGTAGAAACATCATGAACAGTTACTCAATCTCAAATAATTTTGCTATTCATGATGTTCAATCAAGACATATGCTAGTAGTTAGAATTGTAAGACTAAGTCTGTTTTTCAGCTTTTTCCTAGTATATTGCTAGAACTTGAAACATCATTGGAGGCCAAGTGCTTCTGAAGCCTGCATACAAGTGTTTTCATACAAACAGCAAATGAAATGTTGTTAATCAGGGCTACAAAATGTATAGTTTTCATAAGCAATTCCTTTGAATTTTCTGCCACAATTTCCTCATCCACAAAATAGTAGACAAATTTATCTATCTACCAGCCTCTTAATCTTTTGTAAGGATAAATTGATCAATGTATATAAAGGATGTGAAGGTAAAAAGCTCTGCATAAATGCTAAGAATTATTTTGCTCTACCATGTTTGCAGTATTTTTGTTCTGATTGTATCTATACTCTCACAGTAAGCTTTTCTTTTCAAGGATTTACACACATTTGGGGTTTAAAAATTCATTTGGGGGTGATATTTGTCAGTAAGCTCTTAGCGTGGCAGATGACTTAATAAAAACCCATGTTGTCCTCACAAACTATAACAACTATTTATTTATTTGTTTAAAACTTTCCAGAAACACTTCTCTTGGCAATCCTTAATTTATAAAACAGCTTTTATCACAATAAAAGGGGTTGCCAAAAGTAAAGACTTGCATAAGTATTCTGGAATGTGATGTGGTTATCATACGCAGACATACAGAGACTGTTGTGCTTGGTCTGACTCACTGTTCTGCTTTAGAAGAAAGAGGAGGATACACAGTAGAGTAGAACTCACAGCAGCCACATATTAAAGTGTCCAGGGCAAGGACAAGACTGGAGGGTGAAGCTACAGGGAGGAGGACACTCTCAAGAGCCACGCTGCTACTCCATATAGGCATACCGGCAAACAATTTTCCCACTCTGTTCTCTCTTACTAACGGAAGTACAGTTGCTTGGATATCGAAGGCAGAACATAGCTGAACTTTGAAGAACCCTATATAAATTGGTCCTATTTAAACAGTCATATTAAAGAGGGCACCATTCAGCTTGCTTAATCTAGACAGGTGAAAGACATAAAAAGAACATGAGTTCAGAAACAAATGGAGGAGATATTCTCTACAATCACCAGGGTAAAGGCACCTGTCACTTGATCCTGCAAAGGCAGTTTTTTAAGGACATTAAGAGTTGTTTGATTTAATGAAAATGTTTCCTGTGACATTAACAGAGCATGGGTTAGGCTCCACAGATGATCTGGCCTACGGAGGAAGAAATATAAACAATTACCAGAGACAGGGAGAACACCCCATCACATTGGTGCTTTCTATTAGGATTTGCCCCCAGTAGGGCAACTTCCCTTTGACATGTAATAGTCCCTGATACAAATACACAGAGAAATATTCTTCTAATTCCTTTTGAAATACTTAGAAATCACCACAGGAACACAAAAATCTGAGCTGGCCCCATAACCTATTTCTCTTCTTACTGGTCCCTTTATGTTCTGCAAAGCACAGAAAATCACTTTTCTTGGCTACATTTTCTTTTGCTCTTCCTCCACGCCACCCTGTTTGCAGTGCAAGGGGCAGCCTCACAGATGACTGCAATGATCCCGCAACACGGCTTTCAGGATGATGCCAGCACTTGATACAGCAATGACTGCATTAATCACAGACACAACAACTCACACAAAGCAGCTGAGCCTTACCCCCAAACTGTGCACATCTCAGGCATTCCAGGTTCTGGGAAGCAGGATGATAGAGAACAGGGGGCATGGTCAGGGTAAGGACTGACCTTTCAGCAAAACAAGGTGGAATAGCTCAGTGTGAAATGCCTTAAAAAAATAACAGTATAACGTATTCTAGTCAGGTGCATAGTTATCATTCAGCTGGCATCAGTTTCTTATTTATTTGTCATTAACCAACTCCAAGACTGTTATTTTTCACATAAAATTCTCTGATTTTTGCAAGCTTTTAGCTGTCTCTTACGACATCCGAGCACGTTCTGTTACAAATACTGCAGGGATTCTAATAGGTAAAGGTATATTTTAAAATCTGCAGAAAAAATATTTTAAAACAGCTCTCTTAAGCCCCACTAATACTATCAACACTGAGCAAGGAACCACAATAAAGGATACTGAAGCTCCTATCTGTGATTGCTAAATGCCAGAGGTTAATCCTGAGATCATCCGCTGACATGTATGTCTCACAGTCACTGTTGACGGATATTGAGTTGACATGATAGGTGTGACCATTAGCAAAGATTCTCCGGGGAGTGACTTCTACCATCAAATCCATAGGTTTCAATACAGGCACCTGCCAAAAAAACCAAAACACAAATGAGAAAGGGAGTAAGATTTTAAATAATTTTTTGCTAGGATGACGAGAGTTTCAATGGAAAGCAAGAATTCAAAGACTGTGGCATTATAAAACTTCTCAACAGTGTACACAAGCTGAATTTCCCCATGGATGACTTGCTGGGCAAGGCTATCCCTGCCAAGGAGGAAGGGAGACACAGGAGAGCCATGGGGAGCCATGCAGAGTGCTGGAAAGCCTGGACTGTGGGAGTCCCACTGCAGGAGCTACTGTTCCACATATGCAGGAGGCTCTGGCTCTGACAAGCAATAAAGTCCTAGTATTTTGCTTTTGCTAAAGAGTTTGCTGTTAGTTGTAAATCCCTTACAGTATTACTTTTGCTACTTGACGTGTCTCTTTCAGAGAAGATAAGTTGTGGAAAGGTTATGATCTCAGCAAAACATAATACATGAAGTCTTGGAAAAGAAAGCCAACATGTGTATTGACATGCTGTACATACACACATACTCCTGAAAAGCCAAGACCACAGACTATCACCTGTCATTGCACCCTCATTATTTCCCTTCAGTGACATGCTTCAATAATTAGACACCATCAATTTGTTCCCTATTGGTAAAGCATTAAACACTGTAAAGCTGTGGTCCATGATTGGGACTATTTGATGGTGTTGAACATGCATCAGAAACAACCTGTCATACATCAATCCACAAGATAGTTTAAAGAACACAGAGAAGTTAAAACTTTGAGTTTAGCTTGCCACTAAAGGAACAAAACAATGGTTCACTCAGCCTTTGAATTCACAGACTACAGGCAATCTGGAATGGTTTTGTTTGCCTAGTCATACTGAATAGATAAATATTCTATTAATGTAGTTGGAAGCTTTTTTGACAATAGACAATACTGGCTTGCTTTGGAAGTGGGGGTTGGTTCTTTGTTTTTAATAATAAAGAAATACTACCGTTTATACAACATAGTCTTCCAGTTCTAACCATTAGCCACTTCCTTTGCCAAAACACCTGGAGTGAATTCAGCCCTTAAAGTCGGAGAGCAATCGTACACACTTATATGAGTTCCATGACTGCATCTGTTCAGCAATGCAGAACCTCACGTTCACTGAAGCACAGACTACTGCAAATCCCACTCTTCAGATAGGAGGTAATTCTTTTATACTACTGAAATAAAGATGAGACTGAAATTTGGTGTATTGCCTTTAACTCAGTTGCTCTGAACGAGGCAAGAATGCTGTTTAATATTAATTACAAGTAGAATCCTTCCAGCACATCAGGCTAAAGAATCCTGTGTGAAAACATGTTAAGTCACACTAAGAGAATTTTATTAGGAAGAATAAAACTGACATAAGCTCTAAACATATTTGTGTTGGTCATTATATCATAAAGCATTTGTGACTTGAAAACATGTGACAGATTCAAGACCGTTATGAGTCAGCTAAAACTTCAATGAGAATAATCATATATATGCTTAGCATTAGGTACATATTTAAATCTTTTACTGAGTTAGCACCCATGACTACCTTCTTGGTACAGGAACAACTGGATGTTGGAGAAAGACAGCAGCTCACCTGCAGTGATGTTACTGTAGAAAGATCTTTAAGTTTTCCTTCTTCATCTTTTAAGTTGTACCCCTCTGGTCTCTTATCTCTTTCTGTAATTTTCCATAACTTGATTGTTTTATCTTTAAAAGAAGAGACAAACAACTGTCAGCATAGGAATTCTGGATATGGTTACTCACCTTTCACAATATATTCCTTAAAGAAGTTTCTACACCTTGGTTTAGACAAATCCTGTGCTGAAACAGTCTGGGTCACTTAATTTTGCATATCAAGAAAATGTTGCCAACAGAAAAAATACTCATAAAGCACATCCCATACCTTCAAACCGAGTCAGGGGTTCCTGGCAGCTGACAGACCATGTAGAGCACATGCTGCTCTCATAACCAACTTGGCAGTTTCCAGGTAGAACAGACCAAAACCACTCAATGCTCACTGCTGAAGCTCAATTTGACAATTTGACTTTGCAAGGAAGTAATCTTGACATTAACGCCAGTTTGCTAGGTTACTTACAAAGAGCACAAGAAGAGCATGGAGTAGATAAACAAATGATACCTGCCTGGCCCGTTGTGGGAATGGGCAGTGCTGTATTGCTGTAATATCAGGAGCTCCAGCAAATGAAAGGCTGTGTGAAAAATGAGACATTTCTCCCTCCTAAGGGAAAGTAGCTGAGAAATAACTGAGAAAAAAACCTTAGAGAATTGTGTTGTAAGGGCAAGAGAGAGAAGTGGGGAGAAAAATATATTAATCTTACATGGAATGGAATTAAACCTAAACTCTCCCTTTTTCATGATGGGTGAAGCATATGATGATAGAATAAGGATGCCTCTCATTTAGCAAAGAGCCTCTGAAGCCAGCAAATAGAAGTTTTAAACATTTCAGATGGAGTTTGTCCTTGGTTTTGTAGTAGCTGAAGCTGCAGATTCCCGTAACCTTGATCGTCCACTCCCACTCTGGTCGTGCACCTGATCTGCCAACCCTAACACTCCCTAGGCTGAAAATCAATGCCAACTCTTCTCCTGCAAAAAATGTGTCCTGAGCTTCTAACGGTTGTTTCACTTATCTGTTCATGAAGCAGCCAAAGCCTTTCCAAAGGTTTTGCACTTCAGCTGCCACCGCAGCTTTCATTAACCTCAGTTCCTGCAGCATTTCTGATTTTGTCCCACTTTCTTCCTTTACCCCTCTCTCCCCAAGTATGTAGCAGAGCATAATTCTTTCCCCACTGTGGCTGATCCAAATGCTTCTTTCAAGTGCTAGTACAAATCATTATAAAGACAGGATATATGAATACATGAATCACTTTGCACTTCTATAGCAACTTTAACTTTGACCTTTTTTTTCCCAAATCAATCCCTCCACTACTCTGAGTGTTTTTACTATTATGCATCTCCTAACAATACTGATATGCTAATTTTCAAGCAACAAAACTATTACAATTGGTCAATTTACAGAACAAGAGGTTAGTTCAATCTGCAACTAAAAAGCTCAATTTAAATATCCAATACATTTTATTTGTATCGGTCATGTTACTTAATTACTAAAAATACACATAG